CATTTGAAAAGAAAAAGAACTCAGGAAGTAAATAATTACACACCTGAGAGAGATCAAGGTGGGAGTTAAAAGGGGAGAATGCTACATCCTTCTTTCACAATGTTGGCAGTCTCTCTCCAAACAAGACGGGAACTATATTGGCAGCAGGTCCCTTTAGCACACCTCTGCTCAATTGTATCAAGGCATCCTTCATCCTACGATATGTCACCTGCATCAACAAATTAATTTGAATTTTTTTATTCTTATAAGCTTAAATAAATTAGTAAAAGTGTAAAACATGGTAATGAAATTGATTACAGAACCAATATCAAGGAAGAAAGTGTGGTACTGAGAATTCTATACTAGTTCGAATACATTCAGGCTTGCGAAGATATGTGTATAACAATTAAAGCCACTACGAGAAGCAGAGAAGCTGTTGAAGAATTTTAATAGTAGACCTAGTTTGACACATTTTCTATAGGGAAGGGACTGTTTAAATCTTCTTTTGGGATGTTATCAAAAGCAACAGTGACTAAGGAATCCTGTTCAACATGCACATGAAATCAGCAGCAGAAGAGTTCAGGGGAATCACACAAAACTAGAAAGAACGAAATGAACTGAGTAAACCAAATGTCTTTTAAAACCCACAATTACCTTTAGCCAGTAAATTACACCTCGTCCAAGAGCTCCTGAAGCAGCCATGTTTGGTTCTAATACGACTACATCATGGGTGCCAAACTGCATTGCAAAAAGAAAAGAAAAGAAAATTACAAATAGGAAGAATTAACCAAAAAGACAATGGTGTTCTGCAACCACAAACACCTGAAAAGGGAAATTTATCATCTCCAATCCCCACTATACCAGAACTTATGCCAGAGCTTGTCATGATCAGGCAGACAAAACACAGTAAGTTACTTTTTGCGCCATATATGACATTGTGCTTTTAGTTTTTCCCCCTTTCTTTTTCTTTTTATTTTCACTAACAACGATACAAGTTATTAGATTAATCAACTGCATTTCACCCCAAAATTCCTATACATAGAATTACTAATCTGACATCTACAAGAAACACAAACTTCCATTGGAATTGTATCTTAATTCCAAATCCAACACACAAAATGCTAATACAATTGAGTTAAAAAAAATTCCAGGACCCAAAAGACCTAATTAAATAGACCATTTTAACAGCAACTGGGATCCAATATTCAACTCAAAGATAAATAGATCATTTTGATATTTTTGCAATTCAGATCCATGGCATGTTTAATAGCAAAACCTTGAGGAAGTTGTGCAATTATCAATTGGACTGATTCAAAACATTAATGATTGAAAACCCGAAACAAAATATTGGCAGCGGGCACTCTTACCAGTTACAGAAAATGATACAATTCACAATGCACTACAAATTGAGAATTGCGGAGCCCCTCCTTTGAGAAGTATCCAAATTCCTTGATGCCCATGAAGAGATAGAGGCGGATATCTCAGCTTCCTGTTTCAACAAAAAGAAGTCAGTTACTTAATCCACATTTCGTCCATGTTCCTTTCTATCTCATCTTGCAGTTCATGAATTAACAATTTCTAGTCTAGAAATAAAACTAGACCAAGCGAAGACGAACCTTTTCCACATTGATTAGAGGAGACATGGTGAAGATGACTATTGCAGGGTGAAGTGATTTCTTCCTCATCTTCTTCTTCAGTTAAAGAAAATTCGAAGCTCCACGAAAACCGAGTGAATTCACGGAAGCGTAGAAGGACAGCCCTTGCATTGGGATGGTCCCACTCCAATGATTCCCACCACGATTCCCACCTTACTTTGATTCGTTTGAGGGAAGGAGGAGGAGATGGTTGTCCGTTATCAAGCAAGGGAAGATAAAGAGGGATCCTCCTTAGACTCTCGCAGTTGTCGATCCAAATCTCTTCAAGAGAATCACATACCATTAATGCCCTCCTACTACAGATGCTTTTCAATGTGGGCAATTCTCTCAATTTCAAACTTTTTAATTTTGGAAGAATGAGTTGGATGACCCCTTCATTTTCTCCTCCTGCTTCTTCTGCAACCCATGCTATTATTTCTTCCATCTGGTCACATGCTTCAATATCAATTTCTTCTAGACTTTGGAGGTACATCGAAAAGGGGAACAACGTCTTTATTTTATGACAGTGCCAAACACTAATGGTTTTAAGAGATGAAAAAGTGTCAGGTGGTAGTGGTGACTTGGTAATTGCCTCTGCTTCAAAAAGGGCTTCCAAGTTTTTCAAACTTAAAAGATCCAGAGCCTCAAGCTTTTGGGCCAGTAGATTTATGGACGAGGAAAAAACACACTTCACGCCATTGCAGTTCCGAATCCTGCAGCACTTCAATTCTTCTGCATCTTTAGTGGAAGAGATATCATTTAAGCTTCTTAAGTAGTTGCATCCTTTAAGAACTAATTCTTGTACGGATGGTGGCACCCAAGTGTTCTCTACATCAATATCGGTCAACTCTAACCTTTTAATACGCCCTTCTACTAATTTGGAAGGAAACGAATGATATATTCCACAGAATGGTAGAAGGACAAGCTCTGCATTAGGATGGTCCCACTCTAAATATTCCCAATATTCTCGTGGCCATACTACGATTTGTTTGAGGGAAGGAGGAGGAGACGGTTGTCCGTTTTCAAGCTGGGGAAGATAAAGAGGGGACCTACTTAGGCTATAGCAATTCCAAATTATAATCCATTCAAGAGAATCACATACCATTGCTGCCCTCTCCCAACAGATGCCCTTCAGCTTGGGCAACTCTCCCAATTCTAACCTCTTTAGTTTTGGAAGGAGGAGTTTGATCATCCCTTCCGAATGCCATGCTACCGAAGATGAGAATAGGCATTCGAGATTTTTAGAGTCATGAATAATTAATTTCTCCAGTTTCTCCAAACGAGATATCATCGAAGTGTGCCATATGGTGTAAATATTCCCAATCGAGCACAATTGCAACTCCTCTAGGTTTGATGAAAACACAACCTGCACAGGATATAATTCTTTTTATTACAAAAATTTATCATTTTGTCTATAAATAAGAAAAAGGATTATCTTGTACATCTTTGGCTTCACCATGCAAGTCAAAATGTGCCCTTAGGGGACTTTTGGTGGTAATTGAGAGGTTGAGGCATCGCACTGAAGGTTTAGACTTGAATCGGGGAAGATTATTCCCTGATTTATAGTTTATTATTTCATCTTAATCATATTGTTTGTTTTAAAGTTTTTAATAAAGTTTTTTATTTTTATTTTTGATTAATTAAATATATTTAAATTTTTTGTGAAATTGTATGGTAGTTTCATTAGCTGAGGTT